TATGAGCCATTTCAAGAGATATGGTTGTTTGACCTAAATCATTAATTGAGTATGTTTATTTAAAATCATTAATTTTTAATAAACATACTCTGCTTCTAAATTTATATATATATATATATATATATATATATATATATATATATATATATATATATATATATATATATATATATATATATATATATATATATATAATACTAATTTATATAATATATATATATATAAGTTAATATATAATAAATAATTATATATATATGCGGTAGTTGTGTAGTGGTAGAGCGCTCGCTTCATAAGCGAGAGGTTCTGGGTTCAATCCCCACCACGTCCCTGGTAGTACCGCGCTCAACTTGTTTCTCTGTACAGCGGCCTTATTTGTCAAGGTTTGTGTTTCGGAGTTATAAAGTCGAGAGAGGGTTATAACCACAAATAAGTAGCCTCCTTATAAAAAGTGGCCTTCTCGGCCTTGATGAGGTGAATTATCAAAAAATATATATGTATTACCTTTAACCTTCTTTTTGTGTTTTTTTAAAACATGGCAACACTTATCATTCTTAAGTAGAAATATCAGTCCAAAAAACTGCACATGATGATAATAAATAGACTTTATTTCTTCGCATGATGTAGTCTCAAGCAAACCAGACCTCCAAATATAATTCTAAAGTCCTTTTCTAGATTAAAAAAATCTTTTAATCCTTGTTTTCGAACAAAACATATTTTGTGACATTCATCTTTCAAAACTTTTCCAAACCCACAAGATTCCATTTTATCAATATACTATTATTTATTATTTCTAAAAAAGATGCAAGAAAAACCTATGATTCATTCAATGTGTTCATGGGGTCAAGGTTGTCTAGGATTAGAAATTTTAACTTAATTAGTAAGCATTCTAACTTTAATTTTACAACCTTATAAACATTTCTAAATCATAAAACTACTAAAAAAATAGAAACAGCAATTCAACAACATCTAAAAGAACATTTTGATATAGCCAAAACTGTTTCAGCTACAGAACTGTCAAATTATCACATCTTTTTGTATAGTTTAATTTATCAAAATACCTGATTTTTAAGCAATAAATTTAAGTAGATTTGACCATATTTTTATTTCTGTTTTAGAAAGGACCACTCTCCAATTCTTTGTAATAACTATAGCTTAACTATTCAGAACAACTTCTGAAAAAAAAAAAAAAAAATCAAGCTACATCGGCATTTTTGTGATTGGACTCGCCCCAGTAAAATTGTGGTAAACATTTAAATTTTAGGTGTTATGCTTGTTTTTAAATTTTTTAAGTTATTTCATCGGATTCGTTGGCCCAAAATATGTAAAAGTACAAATTTTCAGCTTTCCAACATACATATAACAGAAACTAGGACCAAAACCTTTTTTTAAAAATGGCGGATTTTTGTTGGTTGGAGGCAAACTTAAAATAGTTATATCTTAGGAACCGATTGAAATTAGACAATAAAATTTTAATTCATAATTTCATAATTTACTAAAATCTTTAAGTGGTTTAAAAATCAGCAAAATCTGAGACTTAGGGTCGCATGCCCTGGATGTTTTCACATGGAATCTCCCGAACGATAAGTTATTTGATGAGTCATTTACTCTTCCTCTTCTAGGATTAACTCTTCTAATCTTCTTGAAAACAATATGTCAAATCCATTGCAAAATTAGTATCTGCTAGGGTTGCAACTTTTTATCCTTTTTGCCACTTTTTTACTCAGGATTCAATTCTTTATCTGTATAAGTCTCAATTCTGCCCTAGTATGGAACTCTGTTGCCATACCTGGAGCTGATTTTTGAATAATGCCCTTTCTCTGTTTGACTGCAAAAATACATTGTAAACATAGTTGGACCTGCTCTTGCAGCCAACATCTAACCATTGTCACATTGTCGTAATGTTGCTTTTCTTTCACTTTTCTATAAATACTATAATGGGTACTGCTCTAAACAGCTAGCGTTTCTTGTACTATATACTAAAATTTTTTCTTGTGTTATTTTATCACTGTTACTTATTATTCAACTAAGTCTTATTCTTTTACTGTAACTATTCCTTACTGCTCCAAAAATTCTTATTTGTCTAGTTTTTTTCCTCAAATATCAGATCTTTGGAATTTGCTCTTTGTTTTCTTGTTTTTCTGATTCATATAACTTACAGTCTTTTAAGTCGCCTGTAAATCATTATCTAGCCTTATGAACTTCATCTTTTCTCTTCAAGTAACTTTCAACTCTAATAGTGGTTGCTTGCAGCCTTGTTTTAAGTAAAGATGTTGAAAAAAAAAATTTAACACACTTTAAAGAGACAACATTTTTTATTATAGGAAAAGATATTTTACATTCAAACTTTTTATTTTCTTCAAAATTAACTAATGAGGCGAAGCCCTAATAAGTTGAGGATGGTCCGGAAAAAAATTTATAAATCTGTACCCGTTTTTTTTTTTTAATAGAAGTTTACAATAATACAATAAACAGCTATTTAGTATTAAGCATTATTCATTAACTCAAGACAAAGATTTGACAGATTATATTTTCTACCACTTACTAAAAATTATTGAAACAAAACAACTATATAAAGAATAAGTCTAGAAATGGTCAGTGTGGAATAAATTTACTTTCACCCATATTACACGGGTCATGATAAGTTCATTTTTCCACATAAATTTAAGTCTAATTCAAATGTTTTTTAAAATTTTCATACCGATTGTAATTATTCAATACATTTCAAGCAGGTTCTAAATACTATTTAGAACACCCGTTTTGGGTACTAATATCGAATTTGCGCAGCAACTACCAAAGCATTTAAAAATTTTAAGTTAAGTATGTTATAAATTATATTTTATTCATAACTTTTAAAGGTGGACAATATGTATATTTTTACTACTGCTTACTAAATAACATTGAAGTAAGGAGTATGTATAGAAATGGTCAGTGTAGAGCACACTTACCAAGATCGTATTTAACAGTTCCGGACAGCTAGTATTACTTTATTGCTTCTGACGAACTCATATATGTTTGCAAAAAATTTTATATATGTACTCTAGATTAATGATCTTTGTACTTTTGATTGATGAAAAAAGTGGTTAGAGTTCTGGCTCAGAACAGCCGTGAGGCAGTTAGAGCAGCCGTGGCACAGTGGTTAGAGTTCTGGCTCAGAACAGCCGTGAGGCAGTTAGAGCAGCCGTGGCACAGTGGTTAGAGTTCTGGCTCAGAACAGCCGTGAGGCAGTTAGAGCAGCCGTGGCACAGTGGTTAGAGTTCTGGCTCAGAACCCAGAGATCCAAGGTTCAACGCCAGCTCTAGCCCAACAAATGACATTGGTACGGAAGGAGGCGTGAACTTCCTGTTAAATGCTCTTCCGCGGTGCTCTGTGATAAGACCGTAAGGACTTCTGGGAGCACCTAAAATATCTACAAAAAAAAAACAAAAAAACAATTGCTTTAAATTTTTCCAAAATCATCCACAAATTAAAACAATCATGCAGAAATTTGTAAGCCAGGAAATCAAGGAAATAGACAGTTTACATAGTATTATTGAAAGAAATATGGAAGTAGCTAAAGTTTACAGTCCAATTGGCCTTCAAAATACTATAATACATTCCTAGAAAGAATCCAATCAAGTTAATTCAAATTAAAGAAGAGCAAATGATGGACCATTGCTAAGAATTATTCATTGCTTAAAAATGTTCCATATGTTAAAGTAAATACTCAACAGATAAGCCATGGAATGTAAAACTAAGTTTAGTTCTGAATGAAAGTTGAAAAATATTGTGAACTATAACACCAAACACTAAAATTCAGATAACAAAATATTAGCAAATGGTGTAAAGTTTTTGTAAAGTAAAAGATCTAAAACCCATGTTAAAATTCATGCCACTTCAAATAAAAAGCACATATGATATCATGCATCACATACAAACATTTATACATACATTCATCATATGCAAACATTCACTTAGTGTTCAATGTTAACTATTAGCAATATTTGTTTTCTGCAATTTTCAGCTCTATTGACAAATTGGTTTTGCATCAATTTAGTGAACTTTTTTTATAAACTTTCGAAAAAATGAAAAAAATATTTTTGTAGAAATTTTAATTTGTAGGTTTTTGTATTTCATTTTCAAATGAAGCAGAATGTTTGGATAGCCTTTAATTTATATTTTCTATTGCAATCAGCTTAAAAATTGTAACCAACATAATAAAAGTATAATTTTTTTTTAAATTTTGAAACAAATCTTGTATTATTTGTATAGTGTTTGCGATAACTTTACATAAAAATAAAAAAAAGACTTCATCAAATAATCATATAAAGCGCTTCCTGGAAAAATACCATTTACTAAAGTATACAAAATTGAATACCATCAGGCTGCAATGCTGCATGTCCACAACCAGGTTCAGCTTGCAATGTTTTTATATTAAAACCATCCTTTCAAACAAATTTTTATTACTTTTAATGGAAATTAACTGTCAGTAACAGTTAATAGAGTAAAATTTGAAATTTAATTTACTCCGAATTACAAAAAGTAGAGATACTGTTGGTTCTCGGCTGACAATATGTTGATTAAAATTACTCGGCTGACAATATGTTGATTAAAATTAATAAGCAAAAGCTGAAAACCTATACCTTTATGCATATAAAATATCAATGACTTAAGAAAAAACTGAAAACCCCTAAACTTATCTTTTAAAGAGTTTTTTAATGAGAAGACAAAAAGCATATTTTCTAGGATTTTTTAAATCAAATTTTAATAAGTATAATGACCTTTAATGACATATTTTGAACACTTTGAACAGACTGAACAAATAATATGTAAAATTTATGCTGAGACTTGAAGTTTGAAATAATTTTTTAAGGATTTGTTAAGTATTTTTGTGTCATCCTAAGTTTTTAAGCACTAGAATAGTATCACATATGTACAAAATCACATTCACTGTTAGGAAGTTCATTTCTTAACAATACATTTTTTATGTAATTTTTTAAGCTACAAATCAACAAAAAACCTACCTCAACAGTGAAAGATTTATCTGTAGAAGAAGAACTTATTGTGTAATGTGTCTCAGAGATAATAAATTCATTTCCATTATATTTCACTTTATATTTCAACTTTTTATCTCCTTTCCAATGTGGAGATTTCCAAATTATTGTAACAGAACGATCACTGTTAACATTTGTAACTACATCTTGCACTGAACCAGGTGCTTGTATTAAAAAAAACAAAAAAAAAAAAACAACAGATAAATGATAAATAAAAATTCAAAAAAAAAAAGTTATATCAACTTACAGATAATAATAATTATTACAGGGTTTTTTTTTATAAAATACTATTGTTAAAATATATTGTTTTTTGTTTTTTTTTAGTAATATTCCGTTGCCAAAATATATTGTATTTCTGTAATATTTTATTACTAAAATATAGTTTTTTTTGTAAAATTTTATTGCTAAAATATACTTTTTTTTATAGATTTTTAAAAAAATAAAAAATACTGAAGACAAATAACTGATCAGATCATTCAAAATAAAGAATGCTATTTTAACAAATTTAAAATATGCTGACAATAAATTGCTTTAATGTATTATACTTTTATTACATCTAATTTTGATCTTAGCAGGAAAAAACAAAAAATGTTTTACATGACATTTATTTCATTACTACTTTCCATCCCAATAATTCCTTGGATGAAAATTGAAAGCAACAAAATTCATATTTATGTGAATTACTACTTTATATTCAAATTATTCCTTAAGCAAAAAGTGAAAGCAACAATAGCAATATTTATACGATCCAATTAAGATTATTACTGCATGAAGCCATTCAAGAAGTTCACTATGTTTAGAACAAGAGTTAATTTCAATTAAATTGTAAACAATTCATTTTTATATTCAAATAATCCCAAATGCTTTAACAATGTAATTAAGTTATTATTATTATTATTTTCAAAGAAACTAGCCCCTTAACTGCAACTTAAAAAAATTATTATTTTCAAAATCAAAATTGGAACCTGCAATTAATACTTGACAAAAACTTATGAAACAGTGTCATTTGCTAAAAATCAGTCTAACAGCAAATAAAGATATTAATTTTTTATTTAATTTTTAATATTTATAACTGAGTAATATTAAAACTATATAACAATTCTAATATGTATTAATAAAATTTGCTATACTATTTGCAATTTACAACTTAATTTCCTTTACCTTATTTTGTTATACAAAAAAAGAAAAAATACTTAGTTTTTTAAAAATAAACAACCTCCTGGTGGCAACAGCAAACAAATTTTTTTTCTTAAAAATAAATATTAACAGTAAGCAACTTTTTAACTCTATTACAATTTTTAAAAAACCAAGTTCTTTAAAAAATCAAAAAACGAATAGAGTACCAAAAACTATAAAACACAAAAAACCATCGTCGTCACCAAAAATTCTCTAAATCATTCATTAATAATCCTGGCCTTTAAAGTAACTTTTCTTCTCTTGAGACTTTTCTCTTGCAAAGTTTACCAGACATATATGCTTTTTGTGACAATAATTTGAGTTCAGCAGTCTAACTTGTGATCTAAGTGTTGATGGTTATTTTCCTTTAAATTGTAAAGACTACCCACTCATTTGTCAAGAAGCTAGGTTTGAGTCCACATATCCTTTTATGTGTTTCATTTAGCACCAATTCACTCATTCAATCACCTTTCCCTTTATATCACCTTTCCCTTTATATCACTCTCTTTCATCTCAAGACTGCACTCTTTTCAATGTTATTTCTGATCAAATTGATCAAACCTAAATTTCTCTTTACCCTTCAGACATTGTTGTTGGTGACTTCATTGCTCATCGCACTGAATGGCTTGCCTTTATTGTCAGTAACTTTTCAGGCATTAAAACCCATCTTTTTTCCTTTCTCAATCTCTAACACAAATAGTCAACTCTCCTACTCGCTTTTCGGACAATTTGAATCATTTACCTTCTCTACTCAACTTATGTCTAGTTCCTGATCCTAGTCAGTGCTCAGTTTCTCCGCACTATATGTTGTTGCAATTGCAATCTAAACCATTACTTTCATATCTATCACCAAAACCATTCTCCAGAAAACAGTTGTCTGTTTGCTAGAAACCATTGTTAAAAAGTTATGTCTATAACAGTGTCTATTATAAGAGCAAACCTGTTATTCCACCTCTTGCATGGTTCAGAATTTGTTACCTCACCCAAAGACAAAATTGAATTGTTTGTTAAAAAATTTTCATCAAATTCATCTTTTGATTCCACTAATCACATCTTAGCTGATATAGCCAAAAAACAGATTGATCTATTGCTTCACATTTATATCACACCAGCGTCTGTATCTAAACTAATTCCCTACTACTATGTTACATTCTTGTAGAGGTGTTCTCCGGAGCTGTTGTTTATACTTTCAAAACTATTTAACAAGTGCTTATCAGAGTCTTATTTTCCAGCCAGCTGGAAAATAAGATACATCTTTTATCTCCATTTTCAAAAATTCTGAAGAGCAATCTGTTATGTCTAGCTACTGTCCCATTAGTCTTCATCCTAGCATAAGCAAAGTTAGAGTCTTTAATTAACAAACACCTAATCTCTCATTTTGAATCTAATTTTGTAATATTTATGATAATCAATATAAATTTTGATCTTCTAGTTGTACTGCTGGTTTATTAATGGTAATAGCTGATAGGTTTTATCGTACATTAGATATATGTGAAGAGGTTAGAGCTATCAACTTTTTTTTTTGTTAATTCACCTTCCTATGGCTGAGAAGGTCACTACAGATGAGGAAGCTACTTAATTGTGGTTATAACCCTCTCTCAACTCTATAACTCTGAAACACAAACCCTGACAAAGGCTGTTGCGTGGAAAAACAACTTTAGCATTATTCTTTATCCTTAAAAAAGATCTCACTTCTGCTACAGTATGGGACTCTCAGTGGCTAGTGAACTTTAACTCAGATAAAACTCAATTTTTTTCAGCTAATTGCTTTTGCAGCAATCTAGATCTTCCTATATCTTACAAACAGTAATGTACTTGATGAGTCATTCTACCCTTCATCTTCTAGGATTAACTGTTACTTATATACTGTGATCTTTCTTGAAAACCATATATCAAATCAATTGCAAAATTAGCATTTGCTAAGGAAGCTTTTTATTCTGTTTGCCACTTTTTTACTTCTGATTCTATTCTTTATCTATATAAATCTCTAATTAGTCCTTGTTGCCATACCTGAAGTGATTCTTTGAATAATGCCCTTTTTCTTTTAGACAAGGTGCAAAAACGCATTGGACCTGCCCTGGCAGCCAACTTTCAACCATTGTCACACCATTGTAATGTTGCTTCCCTTTCTCTTTTCTATAAATACTATAATGGGCACTGCTCTAAACAGTGTCTTTAGCATCTTTTGCGCCATCTATTAAAACTCATTTAAGTGTTACTCATCATTCAATTAAGTCTCATGCCTTTACTGTGACTGTTCCTAAATGCTCCAAAAATTTTTATTTGTCTAGTTTTTTTCCTTAAACATCAGTACTTGTTGTCATTCTTAATCATTATCTTGCTTTAAAAACTTCATCTTTTCTCTTCCAGTAACTTTCAACTCTAATAGTGGTTGCTTGCAGCCTTGTTTGAAGTGAAGATATTTGGAAAAAAAAAGTTGATAAACTGAGTTCTGAATTAAAAGAAGCAAAGTTTTTTACTTTTACAATGGTTCCATTTAAAAAAGTAACTCAAAAAAGTTTTATAAACCAACCTAACTATTATGATTTTTATGAATAACATAAATGAGCTGGATTAGGTGTTAGAAACCATTTAGTTCATATTATACCAGTGAAGGTGGCAATCTAAGTTATCCTTTTTTTTTAATGTAACTAAAACCCCGAATACTATTTTTAAGTCAATCTATTAATTGTGCTATCAAACATGATAACACTTAATTGTGCTATAATGCTCGATAGCACAATTAAGGACTATGCCAATAATCCTATAGTCTTTTAAAAATGCAATGTCTTCCACTTTGTTTTTGTTGTCAACTGTAGAACAAGAGGAACAAAATCAGTATTTGCCAAGTGTAAATTTTTAGACTCAAGATTTTAGAAATTTGTTAAATAAAGACTTGAAGGCCATGCTAATAATAAAGAGAAGATTGTAAAAACATCCAGAGTATGCAATCCTAAGTCTCAAATTTTTACACCACTCAAAGATTTTAAATTATGTAAAGTTATGAACATAATTTAAATTCCCAAAATTTCATCAACTTATTCATCTTAAATAGTTATATCTTTAAAAGCAACAACTGCTTTTAAAGATATAACTATTTTAACTTAACAAAAATCCGCTATTTAAAAAAATAGTTTTGGCCTTTGTTTTTGTTATGTGTGCATTGGAAAGCTGAAATAGTATGAATAGCTGAAATAGCTAAATATGTAAGTACATATTTTTAGATATTGTGCTGCTGAGTTTAGTTAGAGTTGAAACAAAGAATTGGAGAATGGTCTTTTTTTTTTAAAAAAGAAAAAAAAACATGGTCAAATTTATTACTTATAAAACATGAATTATGAAAAATCAAAGGAAAAAATAAATTAGTAAATAAATTGGTATTAAGCACCTGAAAATAACTTGACAGTAATATAACTGAAACAATTTTGACCATACCAAGTTTATCCTTTAGTTATAGTTGACTTGTTGTTTCAAGTTGGATGATGAAATTTAAAATCTTTGAGTGGTGAAAAAAATCAAAAAAATCTGACGCTTAGGGTTACATTCCTTTTTTAAAAAAATTAGATATTTTCACATGGAATTGCATAAGACCGATTGGATAATAGTAAGAGGATTTTGAAAGTTCTCCAAAGTTTTTAAAAACTGGTACCACAGATGCCATTTTCCAGGTTTTACTTTTTATCAGAAAGGTGCTGTACAGCACCTTTCTGAGCCACCTTGTACAGCACCTTTCTGAGCCAACTTGGCACCGTTTAGGTTACGTAAGATGCAATGGTTTGATTGAAAAAAGTTAATATGCAAATAAATTGCTCACCTAAAATACTATTTTTTTCTTTTTTAAATTAAGTTTTTATCTCATGTACCAAGGGAGTTATGTCCCTTCAAAGTTATTATGGTTTTTTAGTTATAACCCATTAGTAGAGAAAAAGTGGATATTTTTTTGTTAAATTAATACTCTAAAAACATTAAATTTAAGAAGATAAAAATAAATATACTTAAAAATATAATAAACTAAACTTATATTATAACTAAATTTATATTATAATTTAAAGTAATAAGGTATTACAATGCACAATTAAGTGTTTAAAATGCATGCTGGCTGTTATAGTCAATTAAGCAGCTCAAAAGTTTTGTTTGGATGCTTACTTGATTTTTCTATTTTAGAAAGACTTTATTCTGTTGTACTATTTCTCGAGATTTCCAATTATTCTCATACACTTTTCCTTTGAGAAAACTTAAAAAATAATCAATCGGACAACATTCAGGTACCTTTGTAGGGTTATCTTCCCGTTTGACTAACACGATCCTTTTTTCATTCATGCAGTTTTGTACAGATTTTGCGTAATGAGACGTGCCAGATCAGGCCAAAATATTTATTCTCCATCAAAATGACTTCACATTTAACCCTTCATACTTATTTGATAATTATCATTTCCATTAAACTAATGGAAATAATATTTATTATTCAAGTGATGTTTCTCAGACACCAATAAGTGTCAAATTCAACACCACTGCAAAATATGAAAAGAAACTACTTGTTTGGATTTACTTTTCCAATAAAGGAATATTTTTGGCAATATTTAGAGAAAGTGGCTTTGCAATCAACCAAGAAGTCTACAAAAATGATTGTATCAAGAACAAACTAATTCCATTTATTAAAAAGCATACAACTCATCGTCAAGAATTAACTATTTATTGGCAGAAATTCGATACAGCCGACTGCACTTCGTTCAAACTGTCTCTATTAGTCACAAGTTCTGAATGGAATCTTCTTCTTAAGTGCACCTAAGCATGTATGCTGGTACTTACTTGGGTGCACTTAAATTTCCGAGCTGCTTGTGTTGCGATATGCTGTCTTTGTGATCAAACATTGTTTTAAGTCTTTTGATGTTCTTTTTTGTTATTAATTTAGCTATTATCATTTTCTGCGCATCGAATAATGGTTTAGATGGCGTTAATAGAAATTTTTTTAGCAAGAAGGCGAGCAACCGTAAATTTTTCCTGTTAGATCAACTTTTCAAATAAAAGCTGTACAAATGTTCTCAACAGGCTTCTTGTTTTTTTTTCATTTTTCTCTGTAACAAATTATTTTAATTTAAAATAAAGTTTTGTAGAGAATTGAAAATTCAAGTTTTGTAGAGAATTGAAAATTCTCAAAAAATATAAAAACTAGGTAAGATTGCAACTATAATTAATATTAATTATAAATCATAATTTTATCAAAGATAATTTTTGATACTTTTGAAAATTTATTTTTTATTTACATAAAAAATTTATTTTAGACTTTATTTGCATAAAAAAATGAAAAAATTTTTACAAGATTTTTTAAATGAATAAATAAAATTTTAATATATAAGAAATAACAATTATTAAATGTGCTTAAGTACAAATAAATTTTTATAGATTTAAGATTTTTTAGAGATAAAAAGTTATTTATTTTTTGCCTAATATATTTTGCCAATTTTAAAAATAATTTTTATGTGCTGCATTAAATCTATATTTTTCAGACAAAAAAAAATAGAAGTAGTATAATAAAAAAATCTTTTTTTTTTTTTTTTTTTTTGTTGTTGTAATAATTGCCTTTCGCAATTAATTTAATGGTTTTGGCTTTAATATGTTGGATGAATGTCTAAGTAATTAAAAGTAACTTGTGGTCAAAAAAATAGTTTTTTAACTTCTGTGTCCCCAAAGCCAACAAACTATATGAATATTTGTATGTATGTATGTATGTATGTATGTATATATATATATATATATATATATATATATATATATATATATATATATATATATATTGCTGTTAAAAAAAAAAATTTGTTTAAAAGAAAAAAAAAGAAAGTCATGAGTTTGGATCATTAAAACTTTTTTCGTTGTAAAACATGGTTTAGAGTTGTATATTTTTTTTGTCTTTAAAAAATTAATTTTCCATATTTAAACCACTTTTTCGCACATAGACGTAATAGTCTGATTTTGAGATTTATAAAAAAATCAATTTTTTTTTCAACAGACGTAATAGTGTTATTTTGGAAATTATGCCAATGTGACCATTTGTTTGTATACTACCATACCCCAAAAGGTTTTTTTCAGGATGGAAAGTTTAAACTAATTTGTATTTTGCGACACTGTGAATAATGGAGCTAAGCTCTAATATTCTTGTTGTAATAAATCTTGTATCTTATCTAAGTTACACTCTACAGACTTTTGGAAAATCTTCAACAGTGTCATTAACAAAGGTAAGTCAAACATTCTTTTTTTAATTTGTGGGTCTGATCTTATTTTCTTCTCCAAAAAAAAAGCAAAACTACTTTCAAAGAACTTTTCTTTTAATTCCACATTTGATTCTAATGGCCATACTTTTCCTGCAATTCTAGTTAAACAGGTTAACCTATACATTCAAATCACAAAAAAAATTTTTTTAATTAAACTCTTCTACAGCTTGTGGTCCAGATAACATTCTTTTCACAATCTTACAAAAGTGTTCTCCATAAATTTTTTCAATACTCACTGAACTATTTATCTAGTGTATGTTTAACTCAATCTTGTTTTCCTGCCTGTTTGAAAATGACATCTAATCTTTAAAAACTCTGGAGAACACTCTGACCCCTCTAACTATTGTCTATTATCTATTATTAGCAAGGTCTTTGAGTCTTTATTCAATAAATTTCTAACATCTCTTATTGAGTCTAATGAGTTACTCTCTGGTAATTAATAAATATTTAAATTTTGTCATTCTACAGCTAACTTGCTAACTGCTGTAACCAAAAGATTCAATCATGCATTAAATGGGGGCCATGAGGCAAGGGCTATTGCTCTACATATCAAAAGCTTTTGATAAAATTTAGCATGTTCATAAGCTTGCTTTATATGGTGTATCTGGGAAAGTTTTTTAAGATTATTAAATCAATTTTTTGATGACTTAATTGCTTTCACAGTATTAAAGTCATCCTCGAAAACACTTTTCTTTATTTCCAGTATTTTCTGGGGTAATGCAAGACTCTATCCTTGGTCTTATATTGTTTCTTATCTACATTAATGATCTTACTTATTGATGACAATCTTACATCTACAGTGATTCTATTAGCTGACAACTCAACTTTATACTCCTGTTTTGATAGAAGCTTTTCTCTTTTTGAATGCTTAGAACTGGCAGCTGATCTTGAATCTAATCTCTTTTCTGTATCAGCTTGGGGTTTAAGGTTGCTCGTGAATTTTAACTCCAACTAACCTCAGTTATTTACTGCAAACAACTTGCGATCTCACTAACATTTTCTTGGGTTATCATTCACTACAGATGTCTAATGGACACCATATATACAATCCATTGCAAAATTAGTATCTGCTAAGGTTGCATCTCTATTTTATTACTCTTGCCATTCTACTTCTAATTTTATACTTTTAAAACTTTTATTTAACTAGATTTTATACTTTTAAAACTTTTATTTATCTAGATTTTATCGAGTTTTTCTCCATGCACTTATATTTCCCTAGTTTTTCTCCATGCACTTCAATACTTTGGATCTCTCTTCCATTTTCATGTTTTCGTGACTGAGCAACTTTTCAAGTCATCTGTCAACCATTTCCTTGCTCTTTAACAAAAAAAGTTGTATTACTAGTTCTATTTCTTCAAAAAAAAAAAAGAAAATTCATTGAATTTCCTAAAATTTGAAGTCATTGAATTCCTAAAATTAAATTACCTTTTTTTTTTTTTGAAGTAAGAGAATGACTAAATTTCCCAAAATTTTGTAAAACAATAATATTTCTAATATTGCAATAACGCAGTAAAAAAAATATTTCTGGCTAACACCCTGGTGGCTTTTTCTTTGTTTTTAGTAACTCCTAACTTAATAGTGGTTGCTTGTAGCTTTAATAGGAGTGAATTAGTTAAAAAAAAAAATTTGAAATCACACAGAGGAGGTATATGCATATGTATATACGATTTAAATTCAACTACTTTTTAAAACATTTTTACCATTTGGTCAGCTTTGAACATTGAATAAGCCCAATGGTTAACTTTAAATATTTATATATTGGTTTTAAAAAATAAAATAATTCTTTTAAATAAAAACCTTATTTATATTAATTGAAAAAAAAACTAATTTGTAAAAGAAACCTTTTATCTTAGTTTTGAATTGAACATAAGTGCTAATAACTTTTCCAATCAATGCTGATACATTATTTCTGCTTTCTATTACAACATTGTATTTTGTATATGAATCTAACCCATCAATAAAAATGCAAGTTTGTAACGTATGTCTTAGTGTAAAATTTTGTGAAGGACAGTTTGTGCAATTTATATAGAAATAGTCAACAAAATGGTCTGTTGGAATCATCCATGACAGTGTAGCTGATTGTACTGTAATATTATGTACTGTTACATTTTGTACTCGAGATGGTGCTTCTGAAAAAAAATTGTTTAGTGAAAAATATATACCATAAAAATAATAAATAAATAAAATAAAAAGCCTAATGAAAACTTTAACAAAATATGTTTTTATTTTATGGTAAATGAAATAAATTTACTGTAGCATATTGCTGCACTATTATTTTCGTTTCCCTGAAATCTGTAAAATCCTTCATTACATATGCATGAAGTACCCAGTACAGATTTTGAATTTAAACTACACTTTTCACATATATTGTTTCCAACTTTATTCTTAAAATATCCATCTTTGCATGCTAAATCATTAAAATATGATTATATTACTGATCGACATTATTCATGTAAAAAATGATATAATAATAACCATGACAACTGGAAGGGTAAAAACAGGAGATATTAAAGTGAAGTGAAAAAAATAAATGACCTGGATCATAACTGCTTATCATTTTTACCTATTATTTTGCTTTGTTTAAAAGTATTTACTATATTTCTACAACTTAAATCTTTTGGTAGTCATAATTTACACTGACATTCTATAACTTAAATATACACTATGCATCAATTTAATTATTTATATAAAAATCTCAACCAACTTGGTTGAGAGTTGCAACTTGCAAAGATATTTAGATAAGCAGATTTTAAAATGAGATCCAGTTTGAATAGTTTTTATAAAAATATTTAAGGTAATTTAAAGTTTCTTTACATTATTAATATAATACAAACCTTCACAATCAAGGTCATTTTTTTCATAGCCTTCTTTGCACCAACATTCGCCAAACAAAATATAACTGCCATTAGAGTAACAATTCATGTAAGGGTTTATAGTCCCATAAGTAACAGCATTTTTAGAACAAACACCTTTTATTTTAAATGGAGAGTTGTTTAAACTTGGAGCTGGACTATTTGGAAAATTAACCAATTGAATTGTTTTATTTGGACACTTATAATAAAAAACAGACACATTAAGAAGAACTCCACAATAATTATGAGAAATAAACTTTAATTGGATTGTACTTTTGTTTATAACATCAGAAACAATTAAATCATTGCTTAACCAATACTGATCTTGGTATTCTACTGGAACAGTAATACCCGGTAAACTAACTTGCATAATTTCATTTTCTCCATTACTTATTGACAAATTAAGAAAATTGGAGCAGTTAAGTTCTTTAATTTTTCGATATTGGCATGTTTTTGTTTTTATAGTGATATTAATGAAAACATTGCTGACATTACTTAGATTTTGAATAGAAGATTCCAAAACGCAATAGTTCTCAGGATATAATGAATTGCCTACAAAACAATACTCAAAATAATCGAGATTCCATTTATCTACGCAATTATATTTTAAATACTTTGGTATATTGATCCATTTGCTAGGTAGTTTACTATCACTATAATCATTTATTAAATAAACTATTTCTCCATTATAGTTAGTTACACAGCAAAAACTAAAAACCAAGTTTATTAACATGTAACAATTAATTGTCATATTGATTTCTGTAAATTAAACTAAAAAATTAAATTTCTTAAATAGAAATTCTATAAAATAATTCATATGCTTTTAAATAAACAATTGGGTTTTGAAATTTAGCAAATTTGAGATGTAAGACTTCAATAAAGTCATCTTTACAAGTTCCCTAAATTAAAATATGTTTCTATTATATACATTTTTACAAATTCGCTAAATTAAAACTATGTTTCTACTATGTTTATGTCGTGGCAATCTTTATACTAACAGATAAACAGCTATTTATCGACGACCTAGATTGGACTAGTGACAGATACTCATCTTAAATATTCAACAAATTTATTGCCAAGTAAGTTTGTGTAAAGTTTTACTAAAAAATTGTTGAATTGACATTTACACCGACAAAGAAACTTTTTAATAACGGTTTATAAAGTGCATTCAACAGCTTTATTTTACAATGGCCCCAGTTTGATGCACATTTTGGGTTAACGTTGATGATCCAATGTAAAAATTTGACTTTTTAATTAGACGAGAAAATATTTACAGTAATATTTCCGGTCTGCATTTTACTAAGTATTCGAAATCTTATTTTGAACCACCCTAAAAAACGTTAACCAGATGAAAACAATTGCACATTTTGTCCGGCATGTCAAACTCAATTTGGTATGGGGGCCTCTTTAGCCCAAGGAAATGTTGTGAGGGCCGCTCAAGCTAATACTTATTTTTATGATGAATGAAGTGTAACTCTTCAACCCAAACTGTCCTTTTGCTAAGGTTTGATGTGAAGTAAACAAGATTATAATTATATTTAAAATCTATCAAATCACTGCATTATTATTAAAAAAATTACAAAAGTTTAATTTTGCATTTTTTATTTCATACAATAAGAACACATTAAAAATGAATAAGGAGTATTTTGTGATAATAAAAACAAACATTATAAAATTTTGGATTTTCCAGAAATTTGACATCTTTTATTCGCCGAAAGCTTAATAAGGTCTGGTTTTATGTCTTGGCTAGCTACCACTTTCATTATGGAAGACGAATGTTCATCAGTAAGCCTGGACCCTTCAGGGGTTATATTTCGTTTCATGTGTGAAAAAAGTTGCTTACAAAGATAAGTACTGAACCAATAAACATAGAAAGAGCCCATCAGCAAGGCCGCCAAGAGCTGTCACGCCGTCTGGGACATCAATCTTGATTAGCGCCCTTATTTATCAAATTTTCCCTATATTATATATGAAGAAACTTTTTTTTTTTAGGTACCTACCACGGTGCACGGATCCTTATAATGCTTTCCTTAAAATGTTTAAAAGAAAACTTGGGATTCATCAAGTCAACAACGTGTTGGAAGCATGGGAGGCGGCGTTGCAATCTATATTCTTGATAAGCTTGTATTTAAAGCAAAAAAGACTTTTTGTAAAGCAAACAAACATATCGAAACTTTGTGTATTGAAGTTCTAAATAAAACTGGTAAGTACCGCCATGGGGTAAGCAAATTTACTCTCATAATAGCCTCTGAACCATTTTATCGCAAATGAGTATTCAGAACAAGCATATTCTTTTCGCTGGTGATTTAAACTTGAATACATTGTGCAGAGCCGTGCTGTAACTTTTTGGGGCCCTGTGCTGTAACGTTTGGGGCCCTTAAAAATTTTCAACTTCATTGAACTTATTTTTATTGGGTTTTATTTCTTAAAAAAAAAATATACAAAGAAATTTAAAATCACTTTTCCTAGCCCTTTTGCTTGCAAATTCATCAATTATATCATTGTAATCAATACCTCTGGCAAACCTCTGGCGGTTGCATTTTCTATCGACGCTATTGCTAACCTTGAAAGTCTTTCCTGTGACATTGTAGCACGCAGATAATTTTCAATTAATTTTAGTTTTAGCAATGGTAATGGTTACTGTTAAAATTATTCGATATACGATAAATACATTTGGAAACAATTCTTCCAAACTCCATTCTAAAATAAATTCCAAGTTCTCAATAGTAATATAATTAACTTCTAAAATATATCTTAAAATAGAAAGTTCATTTTTGAATTCCTCCTCTTTAACATCATTTTCTAAGCGTTTGACCAATTGAACAATTAGTACTAAATTCATTTGTGTTCATAGTTTTTGATTTTTTCATTATCGAAAAGAAAACCGAAAACTTCATTTAAAAAACTATACAATTTAAATTGTTCTTGCAATAAATCTTTTACTTTATCGATTAGTTTATTAAAGTAAGATTGTTTAAAATTATCTTTAGCCGTTTGAGTCAGATGGTTATACTTATCATCAATTTCAGAAACGAGATCACGTATATCAATATCACCACAGCATTCTATTGGGTCAGTTTCATCATCTATTGGTTCAATTTCTTCATTCGTTATATCATTAATATCGTAATATTTCTAATTTATTTTATTTTTATGATCTGTATAATAACAATAGTTTGCCAATCTTATGAGGTGGCTTATGACTCTCCATTTTGGTAATGGTAAACTAGATTCTGGTGATTAATCAAGTTTCTCCTTGTTTATATTTGAGTTCACCGTTCAGTGAACTGTGCTATATCTACTGATGCTTCTTGTGCTTCTTTTATAATCTGTTCAAAATTGTTTTTGAAATCATCAAGAGATAACAGCATAGCCTTTGTATGTTGTAATGCAATATTAATTGCTATATTTTTTTGCAGAAGCAATTGGCTGAAAATGTGAAGCTTTGATAACAAGTGATACCAAATTGCTGTGAGCACAACAAATTCATAAGAGTTTATTTGTTTTATTAGAAACGCAGCATGAGTTTTACAATCTGGATGGCTATTTTTAAGTTCATCTAGTGCAAGACTTATTTCTTTTATCTGGTATTTCACGGCTTTTATACTTTTAAAACAATATTCCCATCAAGTATTACTTGGCACCTTCAGATTAATTTTTGAATATTTTACTTGAATAGCCTATCGCTTTGTTGATGTAGCAAAGATCTTATATAAATTATTTAATGTAGTGAAATAATTCTGACTTTTGATAGTGTTTTTAACACTATCATTTATAACTAAATTGATGTTATGTCCACCACACGGTGCATACCATATTTCTAATTCCTCAATAAGAACGTTTGCTAAATTTTCTCCGGTTGATGATATTATATTTACAAAACTTAAGAAACTTTTTTGAACACTTGGCTTTTGGTCCGCTATTTTAACATATCGAATAATGATTGACAACTGGTCCTTTTTCCGAAAATCTGGTGTAGAATCTATTATTACGGAAAAGTATTTTGATGATTTAATATTACTTACTTTTGTATGCAAAACTCTAAAAGCTAGTTGTAAGATAATTTCGTTTTGAATTTTCAAAGGAAAATATGATCTAACACTTTTTTCTATTTCGATAATTGATTTTAAATGCATTTTCAGTTCTGGAACAAAATCATAAAGTGATTCAATTACTCCTAAAAAATTATCATTATTTGGTTCAAAGAGTTTTTTGTTGCTGCCTTTAAAAGCTAAATTTCGTTCACCTCAAAATAATACCGCTTTTACAATACATCATAAAATTATTTGCCATCTGCGTTTTTCTTTATTGAATACATCTTGATTGATAGATGATTTATTCCTGTTCTGTGTTTAATGTTAAATTCTAGAATTCGCCATTAATACGCTGATTCAAGATGTATCTTTAAAGATTCATGTTCAGAAAGCCGTATTTCTCCCAGCTAGCACACTTACATTGGGCCAACGTATGTAAAAATATCAAAAAGAAGCAAATGTTTTGTTTTGTTCTTTTTAAAGGTTGTACTTTAATTATTTGCATTTTCTTAAAGAATGATTGTGAATTTTTTGGCTTTTGTACTTTTTGGCAGGTAATATTATAAATAATAAACATATTTAATATGGAGAAATGTGACATTAGAAAAAGTCTTAACATTCATTGCCACAAAACTGGATTTTCTAGAAAACAAGGTTTTATTCAATTCAAAGATCTTTCTTGTGAAAAACAAGAAGAAATAATATGGCGAAAAAATTTAAAGGAAAAATATTGTTCAATAAAAATTATATGTTGTTATCATGAGAAGTTCTATGAAAAATATTTTGAGAAAAAAATCATAGTGTTGCAATCCTTTTAGAACACACAAGAAATGTAAAAAATTTGCTATAAAAAGTAATCTAACATTAATTACAAGAAGAACATTTGTTATTTATAAAAAATTTTATATTCTCAGTTATTTTTAAAACTTAAAACTAAGTTTGCTTCTTAGATAATGTAAAGATTTCTCTAGACTTGGCGAAATTTTTGTAACAAAATAATGTTTATTAATGTTTATGTAACAAAATAATGTTTAACCCCAGGTTGGAAATTCTGCATTAAATGTTACCAAAAAGCAGTGGAAACAGATGGAGATTTAAATTCAAATGAGGAATGGGAATCAAAAAGTGAGAAAAAAATTAAGTTAGATACCACTATAGAATTGCTTGGAGTTTCACCTGTCATACTAACAAGTCTTTCAAAACACAGCAAATTGCCTGCAGCAAAAGTTTGAGAACACTATTGACAGAGTTGCAAAAACGGTCTCGTTAGCATAAAACATTAAAAAAACTTCTTTAAAAACTGAAATAAAAGGCCCCATTTCAAACAACAACATTAACAATGACCATGATTTAGACATTATAATGTATGAAATAAAATAAAAATGTCAGACACTGACTCTTATCGCCGTAAGGTGCAAATGTTAACACTTGCACCAAAATCATGGATACGTACAAAGATATCAAAAAAACTGGAAACCCACTTTCACCAGAAACAGTTAATTAAGTGATTTTCGATTTTGATGCCAGGAAAAAAAGATTTTGTAATTGTTAAGAAAAACCAACATGTTCAAAAAAGGTTATTGCTACTCAGTCTTAATGAACTACATGTTACGTTTAAAAAAGACTACCATAACGTCAAAGTCAGTTTGTCAAAGTTTTGTACTCTTAAACCTAAATGGTGTATTACAACTAATGCGTC